TAAAAAGAACCCACATCTGTCTTACAGTACCACCACAATTCCGTATTCGAAACGCGATCTTCAAATACGAATATCCCATCGTACTTTTATGGCAAAATGTGCTTGCTGACTCTTCTCATAATGTAATGACAGCATTTGGGGGAACACTTTTTAATCGATCGACTCTCCCTGATATGTTCTCACCTTTGGCAAAGCATTGAGCTGAAAAGTTTTCTTTTTCTCTTTCTCTTTGCAGTAACACACAAACAACATGACCATTGTTCAAACACATCCGTTTGCGCATATTCTATTTATCTGTTCTTGTTAATAATCAAACAATTCATTTTGGATACGGGTAATCCAAACGTCTTCCATAAGCGATTCACATCTGTGTAACGAAACGCTTTTTACTCGTTGGGCCAGTATGCCTGCTAACAGACTTATTAAGGTCTGCTGATAATCATGTGAAATTTTAATGTCGCACTAATATATGTGATGCACTCCCCTCCCATTATGGAACTTTGATAACATAATAAAGCTGCTGCGGGAGTCTCCGGGCGTTTTTTGTTTAAAACATATGAAAGTCAAGTCAGTATGTTTACAAGCCAATTTTCTTTGTTTCGAAATTCAAGCGATTTTGGAAAGTTTTATTATTTATAGCAAGTTTAATTTTAGGATCTGTTGCAGTTGCAGCCCATTCCATTGTCGATCAAGCGATTTTAGTAATCTATAACCATGAAACTTCAAAGGAGTAATACCCCCAACGAATTGAAGTAACATAATCCCGACAACACCAATCACCACCGTTAAAATTCCATTATTCAAATACTGACACTAATTTGAATGCGGCATTAATTATTAACGTTGTGGGATCTAGAGCGTTTACATTCTCGTGCAGCGGGCTTATTTTTTATGACGGCAAAGTCGAACCGACAAACCCGTAGAATTATCTATTTTTGACTATATTTTGATAGAACGGTTAAAATTTTTTTGACAAGATCTTAACACAATAATTTGCACATTAAAAACTGTCGGATTCGCTCACAGAAGATATGTTACCTGAATTACAGTATATCAATGTCACAGCATAACAATGACAAATTGTTACCAATAAAAATTGTAAATAACGTTTCTTACAAGAAATGTAAGCAAGTGCCGTGCTAAAAATTTTCTGCTCTATAGAAAAAAAAATTGATCGCACTATTATTTATCCGAAACCGATCAAAATTAATATTAACATTTCTTAGTTACAGCAACATAATTAATTCCAGTTGAATTATAAGCTAGAATATTTAATAAAATACAACCATTATGTCTTTCTTTTTCATAACGTTTTTGTTGTTTTAAAAATTATGCTATCTCTTTTCTAATATACTTTTTTTTTGTTATTCGCTGTTGGGAATAACGTGAAAAAGGCATTACGACCAACTCTAAAAATTATATTTCTGACAAAAAAGAAGGTTCAAAAGTGTCAGAGATTTCTGCGTATAGTGCTTGCTAATGAAAAAATGAACTAAAATTATATATGAACATTTCTTTATTCTTTAAATCAATCACAGCTAAGTTATGATCACTAGTTTGAAAGCTCATTTACTGTATACGTTGGACAGTAATAAAAACATTAGATAATAACAGTTGATAACGATTAATGCGCATTGAAGCTAGATAGTCAACGTTGCAATCGAATAACCGTCTGCTTTCTTGGACCGCTAATATGTTTCAATATCTCATAGCAAGATACTTGCTTGTATAGTTTAGTTCCATTGATCCAGTATACCACCGATAAGGATTAGTTTTTTAATGTAAATCACCGGTTCTAGACCATTTTATTGCAAGTCTGGATCTTCGTTTCAAAGAATAAACATGTTTAATGTTAATTACAAAATCAGATTTATACAATTAGATGCGCAAACCAAATTAGGAAAGTACGTACAAATAAAACTCACTAAGTGTAATAATTTTTCGTCCAGTCCTATAAACTAACATCCCTAAATGCATGCACACAATCAATGTTTACTATTACGTTATTAATATTCCCGTTTTCGAATTTGTATTTTGTCGTTTTTAATTATCTTGCTAGTACTAACATTATTAGTAGTTTATCATTGTTGTCCGTGATTATTGCTTCCAATTAGTCGGCATTAATACATGCATGCATCGGAATGGAAATTGACGATCCAACGCTTGATGGCCTGATCAACAAGCTTCACGACGAAGGGATCTGTGCGTGATATTCCAGATGATGATCAAAAAAGAAACTAATGAGAAATGCTAACGAAATTGATGATAGCTCTGTAGCACCAGGAGTGCAGTAAAAAGTTAGAAATGTATGCGCATTTTTGTTATGCAAGCGAACAGATAAATTTGTAATGAAACAAATGAAACAGACAACGATAGACCAATATCTTAATTAAATAATAAACAATATATACTATATATCCCATAGCGTCACAAATTGCTGGTCCCGATGGGCGTGCACTCGGAGAGTTTAACTACTCGTCGTCTCATTGTGCTGGTTTTCTTACTCGTTAATATACATGTCTAAAATTGGACTAGCGATAAAGTGGCTAGATTTAGTGCCAGAAAGTAATTCGCTAAATATAGGTTCCCCCCTTTTCGTCTGGTGGATACATATAGAAGTTGCCGAAAGAGTCACGCGCTGGGTATTAATTGAAATAGGTATCGTTAAGGGGAGTGTGCATTTAGGGAGAGTATTTATGTTTGACGCAATTGACACACGACCGAAACACACATTTATTTGTTCGAAAAATATACTGTGGGTGGGTATTCCACCTTGTCGTGCACATTTCACATGAATAATGACAAACGGAGTTATCGTAATAAGTGTTTGTTACATGCAAACAGCTTGAAATTGATGACATTATTGTTAGCATTACTAATGGTGGCACAAGGAGACTAATGTGGAATATAAATAATTAAGAATAATTAAATTGGTGGCGACATGAGTAAAGCATGTGGCACATAGTCGATACATTTACGCTACAAACTATCACTATCCTGTAAAGATAGCATTTATCTGCTAAATTTACTTTCGGGTCTATTTTGATGGACGCCTTTGTGATACAACTCATTGGCTAACATGTGAGACTAAGTATGCAATCAAGCCACCGCCACAAATACATTATATGTTACGCTGTCACATGTATCTCGACGTTTGTAGAGTTGAAGTAAATTTCAAGTCATATTAATCATGTTTTCAGGTCTTATACAATATAATATTGTAAGAAATTAATTGCGTAATATGTACGCCCACCCCTTTTCTTATGGCTGAGATTATTACCTACAAAAGACAACGTTCACCGATTTATACAATAGCGTAACGTAGTTTTATAGATAAACAAATTTATATTCATGCCATTTGTACATTAGCATACACTGTGTAGACAATTCGTCATGCAATCTTAAAATATGTCTTAACTTTTTTAAAATAAAATGTTGCATTTATGGAGCTATTGACAAGTGGTTTGTTGAACAAAAAACCTTTGTCTTCATCATTTGTCAGCTAGGTTATTTTCCATCATCAGGAGTAAGCCCACTTATTTTAATTGGTTGAGCAGCGATCTTTAGATGGATAAAGTACGATGTAATGCTACTTCTTCTAAAATAATCCGACAGTGAAATGTTTGCAAAAAGTGTCATCGGGGCATATCAAATACTTAATTGGCATGTCTAAGATGTATGATTACATTGAACATACACTATTGAATAGCAGCAACAATGCTTAAAAGTATAGGCTTGCACATCTTTGCAATTTAGAGTCGACGAGAGATTTGGTGGATGGACGGAAAATTTGAACTGATTAGGCCAATCCGACCAATTGCATACAATTTCTAGGATGGCAATGTCGTAACCGTACCTACATTGTACTTGTAATTAGTAACAGTAAGCTCTAATAAAATTTTTTATTTATTTACGGTATTTGTTTCATATGTTTACTGACTGATCGACTGCGGATTCAATCACATTAGGAATAAGCTTTTGCATAGACGAGACGAGACCTTGGTCTGTTGCACAAAACTGTTACTATTACGTACACAGGTCCGCGTCCCGAGAACCCTGAAACATTCATTACATCAAATATGGATGTATGATTTAGGAGTGGGAATTGTGGTTAAATGATATTTTAGTTTACACAATCTTATCAGATTGGATCAATACAAATATCTCGAGTTTGTTAGAGTATCCAAGATACACCAAGACGACAAGACGCCCAAGCTTACCATTGCTCTTTTAAGGATCAAGTGCTGAAACAAGCAGTTAGTCATGACATAAACATTAGCCAAGTTATTTATAAAGCTCAAATTTGAGGGTACTGCCGCCGTGTATTATCGCCGTGTATTATCGCCGTGTATTATCGCCGTGTTGTCACGTTATTGTCATCAAGTGTCAGTTCTCTCTCTCTCTCTCTCTTGTCAGTCAACCAAATTATGTTTTTCAAAAAAGACACTGGCCGTGATTCTCAGCGCTGAGGATACCTAATAGTATTGTTATGCAATTGGAGAACACTGGACAGCTGAAACCTTTCATGACCTTATTCTGGGGTATATCCAAATTTCTCACGTTTCATTCCAAGGTTAATAAACTAAAAAAGTACATCCATTGCTCTCAATTCGGTATACAAAAATCACTTGCCTGCAGGTCCCAATCCTTTTCTGGTTCCACAGGCGATCCCTTGAACAATCGTGCACTTCTGTAATTTCCGTAACAAGTAAGGTGACACATTTAAATGATAATGATCCAAACTGGATATTTACCAATTAACAAGAACCATTCTTGGCGAATTCTCCTTCTCCATAAATTTAACTGTCAGAACCTACTTTGAAAAAAAAATCATATTCTCAATTAAAAAGAAATTGCTTGCAAATTCACCTGTTCGAAGTCACTCTCGTCTCGCACGTCTTACCTTGTAGACAAATGCCTAATATATCAAGGGAGTGATTGTAGCATTGTCGTAAAAACGCTTATTTATTCATTTTCTAAAAGAAGAGCTATAGATCGAAATGTCAACGTCTCAACAACAACAACAGTCAGCGATTTCCGTTGATAATTCACGAAGAAACTTGGATGATACTAACGTAGAAACAGCATTACAACAGGCCGTTAACGAAAGGATTTTTCTAAGGACTCAAAACGACCAGTTATGGAAAATTATTGAAAAGCAAAAGGCTGTTATTCATAACTTACAAAAAGATAATCAAAAGTTGGCTTACGATAAAGATCGTTTGTCTACAAGAATAAGAGAACTTGAAACTCTAAATCAAACGGAAAATTCAACTAGCAATAGAGTTACAATTGATACAAATCAGACAGATAACAGAGACGGTGGACCACGTTCTCAACAAATATCTCCCATTAACACTCATTCTCCAACCAGTACGCGCTCACCTCAATCGTCAAACTTGTCTGCAACTGTCGACGACACCAGTCCTATATATCAAAAACAACAGCAACAACAACAGCAACAGCAACAAATACAAGCGCAAGAACGTGTTCGACAACAACAAGAGCAAGAACAACAGGAACATGTAGAACTTCAAGGGAAATTACAAGAGCAGGAACGAGTACAACAGCAAGAACAGCAACAGCAACGGCAACGGCAGCAGCAGCAGCAGCAACAAGACGATGGCCGTCAAACAGTAAAAACTTCGTTAGAAGAAATTGCAGCGGCCGATCGTCAAGATTCTACTTCTTCCTTTTCATCACTATACATGTACGATACTACCAACTCAGCCGACGAAACATCGCAACCGCTTCCAAGAAGCGAATCCCCTCAATCCAACGATCGGCAACTTGAGAGGACTCCCACTCTCCAGATAACCGTCTCGGAACAAGACAACGAAAGCACATCAGAGTCTCATACTACTGTGTATGAATCACCTATATCTCTTGCCGTACATCGTCAAGAGTCAGTGCCATTAGACAATGTCGATTCAACAGAGTCTAATTCATCGTCAAATCGTAATAAAAAGAAACATAGGTTGAGTGGTATTCCACTGCGAAGGACGGGTGAATCGGGCAACTTTGTAGGGCTGCCCAGTTCGCCTCGAAATGGGCCTCCTCCTGGAATGAAGTCTCCTGGATTGCCTGGTTCGCCTCGAAATAGTCCTCCTGCTAGTTCGAGATCGTCCGGACGATCTATTTCACCTATAAATAGCCCTCCGGCCATGAAATCGCCTGTATTACCTTCTTCACCCAGGTCTCCTCGTAGCTACGGCAATGGCGACGGAAATGTGCGTCTGCTGGAAAGATGGGATAGTGATGATCAGAGAATTCTTAGTGGTGACGAGATAAGGAGGAATGAATCTTTATCTCCGACAAGAGCGACTACTTTTCCTATTAGTGAGCCTACATCTGTGACTTTGATTGGTATGACTGAACCAGTTTCTTTGTCGAGTTTTATATCTGAATCAACGTCCGCGACAAGTGCAAATGGCGAGTCTGCATCATTAAGGAGCGTTGAGTCTATGCCGGTAGAAAACGTAGTTTTGTCGTCAGAGTCTGTTATATCCGAGTCTACATCTGTAACAAGTATGGCTACGTCTGAACTTACGTCTGGAGCAAATGTGTTTGTCGCTGAGCCTACTGTAATTAATACCACTCCTACTACCGGACAAGGCAAGCATGGCAATCCAGGGCAAGCAGAGATATCTCAGTCTTTGTCATTGCCAGCAAAACCCGATTCGTTGTCGATTTCAACTGAGAATTCTCAGCAACGCGCTAGTACCCAGTCACGAATGAACACTTTTCCTCGTATGGACTCTTTACCTCGTATTAATAGCCATGCAGAGGCGAACCAGTATACTGGGACTAAAACCGTTAGATTAAAAGAAAGTTCTGAATCACTGACATCACCGCGCTCAGCAAAAGCTAATGATACCATAATCAACTTTTCGGCTGGATCAGATGAGCCTGTAATTAACTTTGCAGCAATTTTATCTCCACCCAAAGACTCTAGTACGTTTGCAGATTCGCATAGAAACGTGCCCTCTCAACATAAAAATCAACCATCACAACCTATTCCAAACGATACTATATCCAGTATTACGGTTAAAGTGGTAGGGAGTACAATAGAAATTAATGATAGAGCAAGGGAAGTTCTTGTTTTTATTATTGCTGTGTACTCGGCAAAAACAAGTGAGGATGGAGTCGCTATTGGAGCCGGTAAAGAACTTTGGCGTGTTAGCAAGAAATACTCGGATTTTTTGACACTGGATGCAAAGGTATTTATTAATGTACATGCTTGTAATGCTCATAGTAAACGCATGATCGCTAATAGTCACAACGTATTTTGTTTTATAGCTCAAGTTACATCAGACAACTAGTTTTATAAAAAAAATTGGAAAGCTGCCTGACAAGAATTTGTTCACGACTAATGCTCCAAGTAAATCAGATCAGCGCAAGGTATGCTATAAGCAAGTTGTGAAGCTAATCCTGTTTAAAGTCTTGGACTCACACTCTAATTATATTTAGCTGGCTCTTGAGCGGTATCTTCAGCACGTGGTTAACTTGCCTTGGAACGACAACAGAGATTTGTGTGAATTCCTCAGTTCAAACGTTATCGAAACCGAGAAATTGGATTATCAGGTATGAACAAGAAATGACAAATGCCTCATAACTGTATTACATATTCTAATAAAGATGTATTTATAATTTATTAGCGTACTGGACACAAAGAAGGATACTTGACCAAAAGAGGCAAGAGCTTTCGTGTATGGAAGACTCGTTACTTTGTTCTCACAAAATCAGTATTGGATTATTACGAAACAGTAAGTGTTTTTTGATTATGTTTACACAGGTCATAACTTGCACTCAATTCTAATAGTGCTTATTCCTTAATTTTTGGTTAATAGAAAGGTGGTCCTCATCTTGGTTCGATTCGTTTGACGCATGCACAAATAGGCAGACAACAAAGCACAGTTCCAATAGAGACAGATTCAATGGGAGGTGATGACGAATATCGACATGCTTTTCTTATTCTGGAACCGAAACCGGGGTCCAAGGCCCAAACAAAACATGTTTTGTGTGCAGAGAGTGATGCTGATCGTGATGAATGGGTAGAAGCATTGCTAGAGTATGTTGCGATTACTGATGAAGAGACGCAAAAAAGGTTTAAACTGAAAGAAGATATAGAAGAACGGGAGAGAGAGAGAGAAAGAGAAAAAGAGCGAGAGAGGGAGAAAGATAGGGAGAATAAGAGGATGCCGAGCATTTCTAAAATAAATGCGCAACCGATAGCACAACTGCCAAGAGAAGAAGGATCATATAATAAACTGGTTGCAAGTGATTTAGCCATGCAACAGGCGCAAGAAGAAAGCTTAATGCAGCAACAACAACAGCAACAACAACAGCAACAACAACAGCAACAACAACAACAACAACAGCAACAACAGCAACAACAACAGCAACAGCAACAACTACGGCAGCAACAACTACAGCAGCAACTACAACCAAGCCCGAATGACTCGATTCTGTCAACTTCCCCCAGCTCATCAATAATATATCAAGCACAGCCGCCCAACGCTCAGCTTCAATCGCAAGCTCCTCATTATGACCCCTTACACAAATCACCAAGAGCGCAAGATCCTGATCGAATACGCAACATTGTAGATACATCGTCAATTGAGAATATGAACCAACAAGCGTACCAATCATACTTGCGAAGTCTGCGTGAAACATCCAATGGACAATTACGACGACAAGACGATAAGGATAGGAAAGGTGCTAGAATGACTCTATTTGGAAAGAATATTCTTGGTTATGGTATCGGCGAAAAGAGAAAGCATCCAACACAATCTAATTTCGATCACAAGATTGTGTTCGGAGTGCCATTAGATCAAGCTATAGCATCGTCAAGAATCAAGGAAGGCTATGAATTACCTGCTATAGTGCATAGATGCGTCGAATATCTGGACGCAAAAGGTGCTGCTTTCGAAGAGGGAATATACAGATTAAACGGTTCGGCCAGTGTGATAAAAATGCTAAAGGATAGGTTTAATTCCGAGGGAGATGTGAATTTGTTGGCTGAAGCTCAACCATATGATGTGCATGCTGTTAGCGGACTGTTAAAATTGTATTTGAGAGAACTACCAACTAGCGTTCTTACGCGTGATTTGCATCCTGAATTTGTAAAAGTTGTTGGTAAGTATTTCAAAATATGTGTACAATTTGTATACAACATGCTGTAATATCGATTATACATGAAATTGCGTCAAATTGTATATTCTATTCTTACATGTAAATTTTGTTTTTCTTCTGTAGATCTACTGGACAGACGTGAACGTGTTAATGAACTGGGACGTCTAGTATCAGCGATACCTCTAGCTAATTATACTCTGCTGCGTACGCTTACAGGACACTTGATACGCATAGTTCAGAATGCAGACATCAACAAGATGACAATGCGCAACGTCGGAATAGTATTCTCCCCTACGCTTGGTATTCCAACTGGGGTATTCAATCTGCTTCTTTCCGAATTTGACTATATCTTTTACACTGATGCAAATGGAGCCGCGGCACCGAGAAGTCTCGAGACAGATTCCAAGACAAGTTCCAGCTCGACTCACAATTCCAGCTCACAAGGCTCTCATCTCCGCTCTCAATCTCAGACACGTTTTGGTACTCACTCACTCACTCCTTCTCATTCGAGTTCTCACTCTCGATCTTCCTCTTCATCACAATCTCCGAGACCTGATGCCAACGAAGCACCATCATCGGTATCGCCCCACACTCTTGGACGCATCCGTGAAGAATCGAATGGGAGAAGTAATCGAAATAGCATGCAGTTCATGCACAGTGTACCCGAGGTTTTAGTAGGGTTAGAAAAGAACATTGCCCGAAAAGTAATTACTGATAATGAATCAGATGAGGAAATGAACGATCTTTCCGTGTTGTCGGAGGACGATCAATCGTCAGATGAACATTCCCAGCTATCATCAGTGTCATCTTCAATCGTTCATGGACAGCAAGGACATTTCGGGCAAGAGGAAACAACAGATGAACTAGAATCTCGTAATGGTCAACAACGATTGACAGTCAGAAATTATACGCCTCGAGATTCGATGTATGAGGTTTATACTGAACAACAGAAGGAAAATCAGAATCTTTGATAAAGAAAAAGAGTAAAAGTGTAGTATTATCTATAGTTGGTTGAATCGATAATTTAGAAACGCGCAATTATTTTTACATGTAGTTAATGATTTTCGACTGATAGATACAATAATGCATTTTATTATGTAAAATAAATTTAGTATGTAATTGATAAATAATACGTATCTGACATAACAGTGTGTGAAACTACTCATTACGTGATACAGAGACTTGTCTAATCCATGTCTTCAATGCGGACAGTCATTATCCGGTTTTTACATGTTGCGTCTCATCACGCTCTTATTTGCATTTTCTGCCTGTTTTAAACATTGCATTGTGTTTCCTTGTCTACGCGACCTAACTAAATAGAGTTAGAATCTCTAGATAATCGGCTATAAGGCTGATCTAATCATAAGTGAATCTAGGAATTTGGTAGTTAGAGTCAGTGTAATACTCAAAAAAGGTTATCCCCTTCAGGGAACAGTGGCAATTCGTACACAGTACGTAGAATGGGAACAGACTTTTCGATTTACGTGCTTCTTGGAATACGTGCAAGTAATCGTTGTTTGGATTTCATATCGATGGAAAAGGCTTTGCACCTGTCTAATGGAATGTGTTTGAAACGTTCATGTAGTTTGAGTGATCTGAATGAAAGGCCCTTTACATATTACGCATGAATTTATTGTACCTTGAACTCGACATCATCCATCGCGCGATTCTCTCGTAATTTCGTCAGATTGTTTCTATGTTAACAATCGGTTCATGTATAATGAGTACACGAGTGTAGGCAAGTCCCGTACATGCGCAATCTACTTGCTGCCACTGCAACTTGGCCCCCTCGGATCTGAACGATTCGGAGAGTTCCGTTCACTGCTGTCGCCCCCTGCTGTTCAATAAGCAAGTAGAAAATTGAGCTTGATGTTTGCTGTCCTGCTTTGCCAGCACGTTACTTGCAAATGACATGTGTCGTTCTTTGTGCAAATACATCGGGTATGCAATATATAGACTATCCAGACTTGGGTTTTTTGAACTTGATGAAACCGTACTCGTTCACGTGACTTACTCGTAAAAGTTTGATAGGTTAAATTTAGCTTTCTATTGTTGCTTATTTTATTTGTTGTGCATTTTGTTTGTCTCTGGTCACAACAGTATTACCAACCTGTACATTGTACCATAACTGCCATTAACTCCGATCAACAGTCGATCATTCATCGTATAGAACAAACCAACTCCAATCAATCAATCCAACCTCAAACAATCCAACCTCAATCCCTGCAAAAGTCCCGGGACCCCCTACCAATCCTCTGACATCTGCTCCCAAACAAATCTTACGGACCCACATCGGTAACCGACTGCTTATCGATTACAAATAATACAGATGACTGATCCAATTCAATCGTCATCATCATCGATAGAAGTGAAAATAGAGCAACAACCACTGACCTGTCCCTCCTGTCCAACCGAGCCTAATGCAATTCCCGTCTGGCTCAGAGACCGCACCGAAACTTGGATAGAATGCGACAACTGCGACATTTGGTATCATGCTGTATGTGTTAATGTAGACCCAACCGACGTAGAACGCATAGAGAATTATGTGTGCTCCAAGTGTGCACAGACTACCACGCAGACTACAACATGGCTACGCACCTCAACAAGAGAGCATTCGAGGATCAATTATGCCGATTTAGATAATGGGGATATGGCAGCTTGTACAAAAGGAGAGAGAAGCGGGAACAAGTGGAAGAAGTTACTGGAGGAAAAGAGGTTTACAGCTAATAGGTTTAAAAAAATGAAAGGCGGTGAATTGACTTTGGAATGGGTTAAGAAGACTGGATTAGACGAACCGATTATAATAGAGGACCCTGAGGGTTTGGATATGGTCATGCCTGGGGCAGACACTACTGTGAGTGATATTGCTGTAGCTGTTGGTAAGGAACGATAATTATATTATGTACAAATAATAGTTTTGGTATGCTATTAAACTATAAAGAGACGAATAGTTGGACAAGAGGCTTGCATGCAAGGGAACTGTTATTATTGTTTTTCTTTCAGTGAAAAACAGTTCTTTTTGCAAAACAACCATTTGTCGGTAACAAACGTGATAAAATTTAACTAGTTTTAATAAAGGATAGATAGACAGTCTTTTATTAAATTAATAAGACTATTCATATTCAATTTCATTTGTTCACATTAACGTTTCCGTTCCACTCCTCCCTTCTCTCCCTGCCTCGTCTTTAATTGCCAACTCTTTCAATTTCCCCAATTCCTATACAAAAGGCCTCGACCATCCAGTCGACGTAATAGACGTCTCCACACAGCAAGAACTCCAAGGCTGGACCATGGAATCCTGGGCAGCCTTCTTCGAAGACCCAAACCGCACAGATACATTAAACGTAATATCTCTCGAAGTCAGCGATACGCCCTTTGCATCCCAAATAGTTCGTCCTCGCATTGTGCGAGAACTTGACTGGATCGAAAACGTCTGGCCACGACATCTCCGTTTAACGGAATATCCCAAAGTCCAGTTATACTGTCTAATGTCAGTTAAAGACTCATATACCGATTTTCATATAGATTTTGGAGGAACATCCGTGTTCTACCACATCATTAGAGGAGAGAAGAATTTCTATTTCATCGAACCAACACCGAAAAATATGAAGAAATATGAATCATGGATTAGTTCACCCGACCAGAGTTTGAATTTTTTTGCTGATTTTGTTAAAGAATGTCAAATCGTCAAGTTGAAGACTGGAAGCACGATGTAAGTTGATGTGAGTGAAGTTTGGAAATATTAAAAGTGAATCGTGGAGAGAAAAAAAAGAGTGGCATGTTACGGTAATATGTTGAAGAGGAAGACGACGATGAGGATGATGATGAGATGATGTTGATAATAATGATGGTAGTATTAGTAGGAATAATCATAGGAGATTGTAAACTTGCCTTTACTATGTACTTACTGTCGTATATACATATATATAGATATATATATACAACTAACTCCAATGTATTTGCTTTATAACATATTCCTTCTCATAGGGTTATCCCAACAGGTTGGATCCATGCGGTCTTTACACCTGCCGATTCACTCGTAATTGGCGGTAATTTCCTACATAGTATGGGCATCGCCGGCCAGTTACGGACGTTCGAGTTAGAGCGACGAGCTCATGTACCATTAAAGTACCGATTTCCTTACTTCGAAAGGATGATTTGGTACGCAGGAGCGTTTTATTGTGATGTACTTAAAGGTAAAGTATTATTGATGAGAAGATGGATGATAACAAATTATGACGAGGAATGGTGATAGATGAGTTTTTACGGCTCTTGCCGTCATACAACATGGTATAATGTTATGTACATATGTTTTCAACTTGCAAATGATTTCACTAACCTCTTCTTCCATCACGGAATAAGACTCTCCACATGCTCTCTGCCCGACCGAGATAGACGGCCTAACAGAATTAACCAAATTCCTTCGTCGACAACTTGCAAAACTTGACAAATCGAGCGGAGTCTCTGCAGAGGAACGTAAGGCAATCAGGAATGCTATGCCCGATAATTTAACTGATCCTTCACAGTTAACCAGGAGGTTGCAGAGGAGACTAAACAGAGTCTTAATACAACGGTTAGAAGTAGCCAAGGATGAGTTGGAAGCATGTTTGGTACGAATGAAAAGAGAGAGGGAAGAAGATTGATTAAAGTGACGAACTGACGGATTGAGAGTAAAGAACACGGGGTTTACAAAAGTCGGACTGACTGAGAAATATACGATAGCCGATTTTGAAATAGAGTCAATTTAGGAACAACGTATAATTCGAAAGCAGAATTGAGAACGTTGTGTTTGACTAGATGAAGTAATCCGTTATATAGTTGATAGTGGTTAGTCGCATACGAGTTCGCGAACATTTATCAACGCCCCAGTGATGTCGAGATACAGAGATGGAGGGATTTTGAATAAATGTTAATAAAAAGAAAAATAATTGGAGCGGCAGCAGTGTACATACGTAAAGTTGATGGCTTATTTAGGAAAACTACCGAAGTGCCTTTTTTTTTTCTCACGATTTTTTACATGCGACATTCAAACCGGGGCAAGTGAACATGACGCCACACAAATATTTCAGGGGTTAACGTACTATGATAATGATACCTATTCATTATAAACAACACACGAATCTTGCAAAGTTAGTTTAATATAATGGCCGCAAAATTTGTTACTGTAATTTAGACTCGATCTATGACATATAGTCTGTAGACTAGGGAGAAGGGAATCTAACATAAAAAGGAAAGGTTCGGTGATAGCAAGGTTCAGTGATAGCAATAGTGGCAGATGGAAAGATAAACCTTGGAACCGGTAAAGTCAGATGCATGCAATTCCAATATAGATTGTTAATTCTGCTCTGAGTAGACTCTCTATGTGATAAGAATTGATGTATGCAATAGTGCTATGAATGGCAGTTCAAAACTTGTGATATGTCAGCACATTGATATCTTTAAGTCTCCCGGCTTGAAAAAGAAAGTCCATATCTGTTTAATAAAAAGTAAAAACTTCCAAGCGTTAAAATGTTAAATTAAAATTTAATGATCCATACCTACAAACGCGAACGACAAGACACCTGTGGAAATATAATAACGACTTGGCCATAATTACATTACATACACTGTCATATGATTGGGGTAGGTACAAACTGTATTATTATAACCAATAAAGGATAGATAAGCTAGAGTATATGTACAGCTGTGTAGTAATATTTTGAGTATTGGCACTCCTAAGTAATATTTTGCTGAAGATAGTGGAACTGATCTTTCCAGAACTTTGAAGACCAGAATGTACCATACAATGATAACGGTATACGGAATGTCTATTACATTGATGTAGACTTTTATCATATTTCGAAAAGGAGAATATCCTGTTAAACAAGATATTGGCTTACTCAAACCAACGGTGATTTTGATCCGGCCGTCGCGGGTATGAATACAACGATTATATTCGATGTTTAAATGGAGTAATAGTAAACCTATCAATTCTTTCGTTGCTAATTATCACTAACTCTTGGATAACTACCATTTATTAAAGCTGGTGACATACTAAATATAATATATCTATTCGTGGCGTAACAATGAAGTCTTTTTGGCTAATTATAGCAATAAAATAATTATTTGATCAGTTGTAAGTTGCATTTGACATTACGCATATGGTTACACACTAATAATCGTTACATGGGTATGGTACCGATTGAGGAGAGCTTCCACTTTACTTGCTCAATTGAAAATGAGTAGCGTAATTGAATTACTTTCTGATGTTTCGTTGGATTATGAAAAGCTTTACGAAAGCGGAAA